ATATACATATTATATATATATAATATATAATATATAATGTATAACACATATATTATATATATTATAAATAAAAACATATATGAATATATGTTAGGACAACAAAAAAAATAACAAAATTGCTAAATTAGACAAAACTGAAGTATGAGCAAACTGTTCAACTTTATGCACAATTGGAGACATTCAGCAATCCCAATAGCAAAGAAAACCCCAGCTCTTTGCAAAACACACCGAGCAAACACAATAAAATGTGAAATACCTTCCTCTTCTTCCTCTGTACAGCGCTGTCTGGCACAAGCAGCATCTTTCTCTTTATCCTGAGATGTAGAAGATGTTTCTGTCTCTTCCCCTATGCCTGAAGAAGTTTCACTGGAGGCAGTCTGATTAGGTGCATCTCTGGCTTCCCCTTCTTTGTCAGATTTAAGTCTTTTTACCTCATGTCCTTCTGCTTCTGCAGGATCATCTTCAGCGTGTTTATTTTTTACCGGGCTGCTCTGAGCACCTTCCGATTCGGATGCCGGTGATTCACTATAAACAACAAAAGCAGCTGTAGTCGTTACGAAAGAAAAACACTATCCTGTCACATGTATTAAAAAAAAGTAGCAGCTACTTCAAGTTAAACACTCTGCAAAAGAGAACTGTAGAACTCACTTCACTTATTACACAACAAAACCTCTAAGCCATCACTCCTTCACCTGACTGTTCATGAAAACCAGGAGTGGTTCAGGTGCTCTGGGGGATACACAGAGCTGCTGCTGTCAGGATTAGTGGCAAACGTGTATCAAATCCCACATCTGGTTAGAGCTTAACATCCTGGCACAGATACGGTAACTGTGGATTTCTGAACTCTATTATTCACTCTTCATTTTTACTGTACATCCCACACACTTACAAAATGTGTTACGGCAACTGCGGAAACTTGAGCCAATAGTTATCTAGAGAGCCCAACCAGCGGGAAGTAAACATAAAATCCTGCTGCAGATATACGTACGTTAAGACTTAATTATGTTTACCTTAGATAACCATTCTCTTTTAAAATGTTTTTTAAATGTAAGTGAAAAAAGCAGAGAATCGTAAAAACTCAAAATGCATTACTCCTCACAAACCTGTGTTTTTTATCTTCTGTTTGCTGCAAGCTTGATTCTTTATGTTCCGTGCTGTCTGGCAAACCGTTTGTTGTCGTAGGAGTTGACAAAGAAACCTTCGGTCGATTTACTGGTCTGGGAGTTCCAGGGCCATTTACGTTAGATCTTTAAAAATAACAATAAAAAAAAATTTAACCCATCCTCTTAGTAAAGTAATTTGTTCCTAATAGGTAGAAAGTATTTACAACCTTGTTTTAAAAGATCACCAAAACAGAAGAACAACAAAATGAATCAGGTACTTTGCTATTTTATATTGAGTAAAAAAAAAAAAATCCGTTGCCTACAACATGCTAACTATGATAGAAGTTTCAAGTAAAATTTAAAAATAAAAAAAAACGGAGCATATAATGTGTATGCTCATGCCTTCTCTACCCTCCTTTGCCCAGTATTTCACATCACACCCCATTTTTGAGGCTACCAATCTGGGATCCAAACTGACATGGGATGTCAATGGGATGAGAAGGGATCTGACCCATCTATTTCCAGAACTACCTTGCTTTTATCCAGAAAAAGTTAACTCCTGAAAATAAACTTACCTGTCAGAGTATCCCGGTGAATTTCCTGGGAACATAACACCATTCATCCGATTTAAACTGTTGGAATTATTTTTCCTAACAAAACAAACCAAAGATAGAACCTTATAAATAAAAGAACCTAAAATTACTTTAAGCTTGTTTGCGTAGAATTTTCCCCCAAAAAACGTAAGTAGTCCCCCACTGGCAGTCCTCAAGGGGACAACGTACATACCCACACGTTTCCCTAGGGAAACAGGCTAGGATATTAATTTACAGCGCAACTGTTACTGAGGAGTAACCATTTTTTCCAACAGCTGTGCTACAGAACAACAGCTTACTGGCCAGGGATAACCCTGAACTGCACCACAGATCCCACACCAAAGCTGTTTGTGCATTTCCAGAGCACTACACGTAACACTCGCACACCACTATCGCTACAGTCGACTTAACTACTGATAACCAGAACTCAACTCGGCACGTCAGTCTTCTGGATGCGACTACTGCCAGCAAGAGAAATATATTAGGCACATATATATTAGGGTGCATTGTCCCCTCTGTCAACACAAGCTTAAAGTTTCAAGAACGAGATTATACTTACTCTGAAGATGGATATACACAGCTGACAACCATGACATTCTGTAATACACAAACAACATATTAAGAGTTTAGAAACAGAAGCTTCAGCTCTTGACAACACTCCAAAGCTCAGAGTTACAGGATTTTGGTCACATCTGCTAAAGTATATCTATAGAAAATTGAGTTGCAAGCTACCAACAGATGACAGATTTGTAAAAAAAATCTTTGCTCTCTCTTTACAAGGTCAGGCCATAATTACACTAGAAGTATTTTTGTAAGTAGATTAGCACCATAATGAGACAAACACATTAAGCCTCCTTCCCAAGCATTTGTAATTTCTAACTGAAGTATCTCTGGAAAGCAAAGTATTCTGAAATGCTGAAAAACTTCTAAACTGCTTAAGAAATGCTCTGTTCACACATGAGTTCTGTATTCAAAAGTACGCAAGCACTATCTGTTATTTTTGGTGCAGCCGTATTTCAAATATTAAAACATGTTGGCTCTGCATAATCAAAAGGCAGAAATAATGATTAATTCCATAGGCTTGGCTTAGCCACCTCACCCCTCTTGAACAGTAAATCAAACTAAATCATTGTCAATGTCCAAAAACCTATCTTAAAAATTAGGTAAGTTTCTCTTGAAATCAATTCTTAGCCCAATTATACAGGGAGGCTTTTGGCACAGAGACAGCTAAATTAACCCCAATGAACTTCAGTGAGGGTTTTCTGTAAAATCTGAGCCAACAGATCTCATAGTTGGCTAAGAAACTGCTCTCTGAAATCCCTGTCTCATCATTTATTCCTGACCATCTCCTTCCCATCTTAACTTGCAAGAAGTTACCCGATTGCATCTGCTGTAACAGTGAAAACCAATCCACTTACACATTAACCTTGCTTCGACCAAATAATGTTATGTAGGAACCTGAAGGAAATTTTGCCATTGAGAAAATCCTGTGTGGAACCACAACCTGAAAATCTCTACCTACTTCTGAAGCATCTCACATTCTGACACAAGCTATAAAATACCATTACATGACATCTGTATGCTCGACACAAGAGGAGTGAAATAATGAAACAAGAGACTTGTTGGGGCAGGAAGTGGCTTCCCCTATCTTTCACCTGCTGGATCCAATATGAACCCAAACATGGGAGAAAATGTCTAATGAAATAATTCAAATTATTTCAGCTGATTATTTCTAGCTAGGATAATATAAAAAGTAGCATTGCACCCTCCACAAACTACAGTTTGAGTACTGCACAGCAATTAGAAAACACAGCTGTTATAGCCCTGAGATTTCTTTTAATGTCTGAAATAAGCTGGTTTAGAAGAACTACTTTTTTATCTTAAAAGGTATGAAAAACTCATACGCTTAGAGTAGCTATTAGCTATGCTAGGGCTATGAGCCATAAGGAAGCCAACAGACCTTTGGGAGTAACTCAGAAGTTAAGTGGTAGTTGTGACTGCTTAGCTGTGTTCTCTCTCAGAAAAGTACGTACCTTTTCCACACCTCTTAGAAATTTGTCTGTTCCTGTGTAATTCCTCCTAGGGTCTGTCAGCAACTCACAGAGTCGCTGAATAGTGAAGGGGATGCTGCAATGAAATAGATTTATAACAATTTAATTTTTTTTTTTGAGCATGACTGTTAGGAAGCAACATTATTGCTTTCTCCCCCTAACTGAGAAGACAGAAGAAAATAGTACTGCAAACTTATCATTAGCAATGAAAGATAGTAACTCAAGGCCTTGTTTTCCCCTGATCTCATATATAGCAAATCACTGTCTTTTGTGCTCACAAAGGTCCAGAAGAATCCCAAATACACCATCCCACAATTCAAACAATTCATTAGACCAAGGAAAAGGAAACCAAATTGTAAAATAGTTTAAGACTGTATTTATTATTCAAATATAGGTAACAGAAATGGTAAACAATTCAAAATGTATTTGAGTCATCACACTAGAGCTAAAAAATTCTCAACTTGTAGTTTATTTCATTTTTTACAAAATATATTTACAGAACAAGCATTCAATGCTGGAATTAGCAGAACCATTACACTTCAGCTGTTACAAATACTCTGCTTGCCACAATCGGACACTATATTTATCTATCAAGAAACAACTTATTAAAAATAAACTCAAGAGTAAAATACATAAATTCATAAACATCAGGTTCACACAGTGTTTTCTGACAACTCTGTACTCAATTTCATCCCTACTTAAATGAGAAATGGACCTTTCAGACAAGCAATACTTTACATATATTTACCTGAGATGTCATAAACTTTCATTGCAAATTCATAGTCTCACATTTTAACAAACTTCTGTGACTTTTGATAGAACAGTGAAATACTTTAAGTTACCTCAAAAAATCAAGTGTAAAAATGCATGTTTCAACTACTTGAAGTTTAAGCTATAAACACTTCAAAGATTCCTCTAGAAGAGTATTTGATACAATGCTTGAAAATCATTTCTTGATTGGCAATACAACCAATACACCAAACCTAGAGCAACACCAGTACAGACTTACATACATACGTGTGTGTGTGTATAAGCCTATACTGTAAATTTTCATTAAAATTCCACTCTGAGGAACTCAGTACACGGTATCTCAGACCTATTTCATTAGCTAATGAACTAAGCTCGAGGGCCATACTGTGTTAGCTAAAACATCACATCTTAAAGATGCACAGATCTACATAGGCTCAGTGCAAACAGGTCAGCACAGCTACGATTAATCACGCTACCTGACACTTGAACTAAAAGCAAGCAGTAATCAGAGAGAGGCTGGAAAAGTAGAAACAACTGAATTATGATTTTTCAGAACTGTGTATATTACATTCCTGAGGAAGTTACAGCTCTCGCCAGGAAAACAGTAAGGAGGGAGGCTACAATGCAATCACCCTTAGCCCTAGTTCCAACCCAGAAAGGTTCATCCCATTTACCCAACTAATTACGCCTTCCCTTGCTACTCACCCTGCAGCACACCGTGCCAACTTATCTCTACTTGGCCTCTAACAACAGAAAGATGTAGTTGACCTCCATCGGTCAGATATGGAGAATTAGAACGCAGCTGATGAAGCATTAAATACATTAAACGTCTGCAAAAAAAGTAATGCTATAAAGGCAACGGTATTTTTTAAACATTTCTTCTGACATGTTACTGCTTAAAAGCAAGTAAAATGGCAAAAACCTAGTGTTTTGGCACACTGGCAAAACACATTTCACCTCCCTGTTTTGACCTAGAAGCACCTTCACCCCCAACCCCCAAATCTGGTCATTATTAATGCTGTCATTATTAAGTCTGTAATTATTAGTTTCCCTGAAATTTCCTTAATATCAATGAAATAGCACTACTATTCAGCAACTTTTGGTCAACCAGCAATCTGACACCCAAAATCTTCATGATTTTCAGCTTCTGCATAGTGCCCTCTTTTAATCAAACTCCCACACGGGATACAATGAATTTGCTCGATCTGTTACATCTTCCACACAGCTACAGCACCAATTGTATCTACTGTTTTCCACTGATGGCCATTTCAGTTTGGGGTGAAAAGTCCATAATTAAAAAAGGCTTTGCAACCTTTTAACACACTGGACTGTCCATTCAAAAAACAACGAAACAGAAATATTTCGCACAAACAAAAACACACTGAATTTTGAATTATTTTTCATCAGCCAAATCTGTAAGACATCCTGGAGAATCATGGCCAAGCTGACTGGCATTTAGCCATACCTAACCGGACACCTGGAACACTAAGCCATGAAGTATTTTGTGAAAATCAAAGTCCTGGCTACTCATGGAATACTCAAGACAGTGTGCAGCTTGCAACTAACTCCAGCAGTAAAAGCTGCCTTCTTGCTTTACTCTCGGCTATAAAAGGCTTAAACAAAAGCCAAAACCAGTTCATTTCCCTCCAAAATTTTCCATAGTAAACTGAATTTCGTTTATTGAGCAGCAGATGGCACTCTTTGCCTCCTTTGCACATAATCTGTCCAACATTCGCAAATGTTTTTAGATGGCAAAATCCACAGTAAACTTCACCTCATGAATTTTCAGCAAAACTGTTTTAAAACAGTTTAAGACTGTGATTTGAAAATACAAGTACAACTGGTGTACATATATACATGAACACCAATGGAAAAGTTTGTGAGTAGGATGAGAATTGATTTTAAATGCTTAGAAGTGTAATTAGTTCAGCACATGAGCTGCATGAACAGTCCTAATCTACCCACTTAAGGGTAACCACTTAAAATTCTATACAAACACGCTCAAAAGTGCACTTCCCAACACTATAGTTCAGAATGAATTTCACACCAAAGAAATTATTTTATAGACAGGATTCACAGAAGATCCGAGAAAATCATTTGTAACAGCTATGATCAGCTGCGGGAAGAAAAAAAAGTATTATGATGGACTGTTTTATTCATGCTGTGAAGACTCCTCTTTCAGAGATACCCAATAACTTAATAGGAACTTTCTGGTTCACTAGCAAAGGATAAAGAAACTGGCAAAAGAAGCTCCTACTCCCAAGCAATTCTGAAGTATAGCATGAGAAGCTGGCTCTGTGCGCATATTACATAAGGTCAGATAAGATACAATAAGTTTGTGCTTTTGCTAAAAGATACTTACTTCATGTAGACAGACCCCAAAATGGGTCACCTTTAACTCATTACTTCTTTTAAGAAGTTGGTTTTTAAAAAAAAACCACAAAAATCTAGTTTTATTGAACTCTCCCTCACTCTTTTAAACAAACAGCTATAAAAACATCCTAATAATAATGTCATATCAAGTAGCTTCCCTCTCCACTATGGTACCCTGAAATGACCTCCACAACTCTAAAGAAGCCTGACCCTGACTGCACAAACCAAACCCTGTTGCTCTTAGTTTTTGGACACATCTCCACATTATTCAGTTTTCATAATCATAACCTCACCGTAGGAGTTTCAGTATTTACTAAATGAACTATTCTACAATCCTAGATCCCAAAACATCCTCTTGCGTTGTTTTAAGGTAACTAACGCGTGCAGTTTACTTCCTCAAAGACTGGGTGGTTCACTTCGAAGTATGAGGAAGTTAATTTTAAGTGTGACAGCAATAGATCAAACTCCCACAGCCGCAGAGGAAGCTCCAGACTCGGTAGCCCAGATTTGTTTAGTACACTTGGGAACAACGGAAGATAACAGCAGCCCATTCATTAGCTGTCTCCATGCGAGAACATGACGAATTTGGTGGGCAGTGAAGCATTAACAGAAAGCTGGGGAAGGCAAGAGAGAGGCAGACTCGGGCATAAAGGATAGGTTTGTTGTTAAATTCCTTCGGTGAAGTAGCCCGGTATAAATACCGGGTAGCTGAGAACAAGCTGCATTTCACATTCTTAGAAGTATCTTGCACAACAGTAACATGGGGGGGAGCGGGGAGGGGGAGAAGATGACAACTGATTTCTGAGACACACTTAAACTGCAAATAAATTAAGTAATATGAAACAATGACAGTAAAAATTATTAACCTAGCATCAAAATATGATACTGAGGATCTGCTACCAGCACCTCTAAATCTGCAATTTCAGAGGAACAGGGAGGTAAGATTTATAGTATGCCTATTCACTGACAAGCTGAGAAAAAAGAGGAAAAATTCTCTCATAAGCAAGCATTAAGACCCACATTATGGTAAGTATGTAATCCAGCTTAGAAACAAGTACAATACTATATAAACTATTAAAAACGACACACCAAATAAAAAAAAAATCAGCAGCTTTATTTTAAAGGAAACAAAACTTCCATAATTAAGAAATGAGCAAAAGGGTATACACTTTAAGCCATTGTCAGCAATAAATGGAATACACCGAATCTCTCAATTATTAAGTATCACTTGATCTATAAATTTGAATCTGGCACAATTTAACAATTCAAAACCAGGTATACCTTGCCTCCTGATTACACCTTGTTTATCACGGCTTTACTTTTTCAAAAGCTACTGAACTGCCACAAAGCAGTTACTAACTGAACACCGAAAGACTTCTTTTAATTGGGTATTTCAAAATACATTGAAAGAAATCTGACTTACTATGTATTTGACCTGTTAAATGCACACAGAGTAATACTAGCTTCATTGAAGGGTATTACTTAAGAACTAAATGCACATTGTACTTAACTAAGTACATATTGAAAAAATTGGAGTGACTGATGTATCACAGGATGTCATACTTTTCATTTAATGACAGAATAAAGTGAAAAATTCTAAAACTACTGCAATGTATTTCCAAGGTATGTATTTGTTTCTGTTCATCTATTTGAGGAAGCAAAATGAACAGTCACACACAGAAAAAATTAAGTTTAAAAATGGGAAAATATTTTTGTTATCCTGGTTTTAGAAAACAAACAATACATACCCATTAAATCCAGTGACAATTTTCAGGATTCTTTCTTTCATTTCTTCAAACGGAATATATTCCACATTTGGATTGGGGGGCCCTCTGGGTTCAGGAGCTGAGGTTCTGAAGTCATCCATTACTTTCTCCAGTTTGAAAATAAAATAACCTTTAAACTGAGACCACTGAACCCTGCATAAAAGACAAGAATGAAGACACAAGTCAGCCTTAAAACCATAAAAAACCAGCATAACTTTGTTTGCGAAACAACATTCATGCTGGTATGCCAGTCCTAAGATAAACAAATTCTATACAATACAAATTCTATGCAATTTTACCACCAAGCTTACATGCCACATGTTTTTTCACTGAGCTCACAAGAAAAGGAGTGGGGGTGGGGAAAAAAAAAAAGTTTTTCAAGTCTGGAAACTGTTGAGCTCTTGTACACAGCATTATCTGCCTCTGTTACAAAATCTTACTGAAAGGCCTTTTGTAACTAACTGCTCAGTATCCATTCTCCTTGAAAGCATTTAATAGTACCCCTTTCTCTCAGAAAGGCAAATATATATTTTATATCGTAGTTAGCACTTGCTGATGAATATTTCAGCAAAAATTGACTCCTAAAAAACATTCCCACAACACTAAGTTATCCATTAAGATCCTTCTAAATTACCTTCTGCCTTACAACACAAAGCTTTATCATTTATGGAATTCTATATATTGAAAGGTTCAAGAAAACAGGCATCTCACGCAGCATACAATGGCCAATGTGGGAAACTGCTGAGGAAGCCCTGCTCCACCAAATCGCCACATACAGGCACAGCAGTTCCGGGCCTCCTCTGTCTAGAGCATTTCTTAGCAGCGTAGGGACCAACTTAAAGAAAACTATTTTAGCTCAGTTACTACCAATTTTATTCTATTCATGTCAATGCATGAGCTTTGACAGCTATGAGATGGAGATGCTAGTGGATAAAAAAGAAGAAACAAGGAGAATAACACATCAACAACAAAAAGAAAGAAAATTATATTTGACATTTGGAATGAACAAGCTCAAATCAAACAAGCACACAACTTTAACTCCTGGACAGCCCTTCAGCTCCTGCTGAAATAAATACTTCTTAGCCAAAGGTTGTATTTCTACAGGCTGTCTTTGGTAGCAGTGTTAGCTTAAACAGCCCTGACTATTTTCAACGCCGTGCAACATATGACCTTCTGTCAGGCTGATACAGCTATTTGTGCTGCAAACTCCCCAGTAACGTGACAATGTTTGTGTCTTGTGTGCTATTCCCCAGCACCAGTACTACCAAATATAAAACCACAGCCCAATACAGTCATATTAGCCTACCGTCACCAGAAAAACAGTGTCATCTTTACCTTAATTTTCTCCTCGGTCTCAAAGAAATAATTATGAGGTGAAAGGCAGGGGAGGAAATTTATCAGGTTTATTTACAGAGATGCAAACATGAAACCCCTGTCTTCTACTAGGAGTGGTAAATTTGCATGAACAGGGGAAATTGGAAGAGAAAAACTAACTTCCCCCTCACTTCACAAGAAATCATGAAGCACACCTCACTGCAGAGGGGAATTCATGACTTAATGAATAATAACAAAACTAGGACAAAAACAGAAATAAAGAAGAAATGAGGTCTCAAAAGACAATGGCATAGATAAACAGCAGCATTGAGTCTCACTGGATTATTGCTACAATTAGCATCATACAGCCAGAACAGAATACTATGTTTCCACTGTACAGTACTGGGCATTACTACTACGATTGTTAAATTCAAAAGTTATCCAACTCCACAGTGAGACCAAGTCTTCCATAACAAATCACAGATTTAATACATAAGCACATCACAAAACAGACAGAAAAGCTCCAGTAAACAACACCATGCAAGAGTGAGATTACTCCCTGCAGAGCACCCCAAGAGTTTTACCTGCCTCATGGAAGGGGATTTCACTATTATTCTAAACACTCTTTGACAACCCCACCTGGATATTTTTCCACACTTTAAAATTTGAGCTGCTCTTAGTTTTCATTGTCATTTTTTTCTTGCTAAATAGTGACACGTATCCTTCCACAGACTATTAACGCAGTGTCGTCTGGCTGACCTAAACCAACAACATACACAGCTTAAAATGCCAACCTGCTGCCTGAAAGCAGTACCCACCAGGTCCCCCTCCTTTACAATGCTGAAGCCACATACAAAAAGAGAATGTAACACTTTGCCCCTATAGAAAAATCTAGAAAACTGTCACTTGTTTTGATTACTATTTCCTCAATGATAAAAAGGCTAAGAACTCACATCTGTAATACTCTGCAATATTGACATAAAAAGCATCTTTCATCCTGATATAGCAACGCCAGCTTTAAATCAACTACACAAGCTGTTGCTAGAAGCAGCATAACCACAGCAGCGGGAGCTCAAGACAGGCATGCTGCGAAGGTATTTACTTGTTTTTCAAGCAGGTGTGTTCAGTGTTGCTGAATTCCGTGCTGCTGTGGCTGCACTACTAGCAGCACGAAAGCTAACCGGTCAAAAAGTGGTATGTTCACGCTGCAGTCGTAGATGTAACTGCAGTTTGTGCCATACTTGAGTGCTTCAAAGTCAGAGTTGCCTTGTGCTCCTAGAGTGTTACCTTCTGCTCTCAATGTCTGTAATTTAGACATTAAAACTTCCTTCCATTTAGTTGGTCCTAAAGCACTTTCAATCTATGTAACTGGTTTCTGACCAACAGTTTTATTCCAGTATCAGTAAGTTACACAGAACTCCAGCCACTCAACTGGAAATATTTGCAAGTTTCTGACCAACAGTTTTATTCCAGTATAGTAAGTTACACGGAACTCCAGCCACTCAACTGGAAATATTTGCACCACAAAAGACTGAGTCAGCTCCAGACTCTTCAACATTGTTGGCAAAATTCAGTCCTGCAGTGGCAACACAGTGGATTCCTGGAAGGCAGGAAGGAGGAGAATGCTTCCTCAAGGCTACAATGCAGGTCACTTGTTTCTTTTAGGCCCAACTCTTCTATGATTACCCTAGAATGAAGAATCTCCAACTTCAGCACACCATCCTTCAGCTACCTTCTTTCCTACCGACCCGGAGAGCAGCAGTCCCTCTTCCTCTCTAACCTCACCTCGGTATCAGGCAGTGTCTGCCAGGCTGCTAGGAAGGGGACAGAACTACACACCAGGAGGAAATACTTTAAAAGTAAGGTGGGGGTAGCTTGACAGAGCAGGTTTCTGCTCCTTCTGCTTTCACCCAGAACTGCAATTGCTTCCTGTTCCCTTAGGACCAGTCCCTCAGGCAGCAGCACCTACCAGCCCAGCTACCAGACAGGACAGTGTACCTCCTAGGCAGCTCTGTCCCCTGACTCTGGCTGAAGCTAACTCTGAACAAGTGCTCAGGAAAGAAACATAATACACAAGGTGGGTTAACAAACGATTTCTACAAAAGATTCTTATTTCAAGAAAACTTAATTATGTGTATATAACTTATCTACACTTGTGACAACGCACTGAAAAATCTGAACATTTTTTTACACTGTTTATAAAAGTTTACATTCAAATCAAAAGTTCAAAACTGAAAAGTATCTAGCTATGTATCTGAAAAAATAAACTGTTAAAATAATGAACTCGCTTCTGACAAAAAATTACTTCTGCAAGAATAGCAAGATTTTCTTAATTTCTATTTACTTCAGTGGAAGTGATCAAAAGTGAGTGTCAAAAGAGGAAAGTTACCTTTCCTGTTTTACCAGTCTGTGAAAATGACACATACACTCAGTATCAGCTAAACTCTTGAAACTCACTTGCAGGTCATCCATGGAGAAAAACAATTGGTTCATAATCAATACAGCCAATATAGCACAAAAATTAAGATTAAAAATAGCATATTCTTCTAATTATCAAAGCAATCTCTAGCTACACCTCCAGAAATTTTAAGTTCTCAGCATATGCTGAAAGCCTGGTCACTTAGAAAGCCAGACAAAAGCAGGGAGAAGAGATGAACAAGTGGCAAATACTGGTTTTCAGAAAATTCCCCACATATATCACAAGCTGCACGAGAATAACTCTAGCATCAGGACACAGGACCTCTATTTTACCTGCTCTCTTACAAAATGGGAGACACTGAAAATGAGCAAAGTTTGGTCAGTATCTTTTGTAGTTGATAAATCAAGAGCCAAATGGAAGTAAAACAAAACTCTAGCACACAGCTTTATGTACAACCTCATTAAGTTTTATACACCAGAAAATAGCTGACAAACACATTAAGCTCTGTAAAGAAATCAAATCGAAGAAATTCCAGAGAAAATACTACTCATGCTTTCTTCTGAGCAGGCTTGTTTATAAATACTTGCTCTTCCCACTCAGCATTGTACATAATTAGCCTTTTCTAAACATGCACTTATGCCTTCTAAACCACGCTTTTCCTGTCCACTACACCAACTCGTGAATCTGCACTAGCAACTTGGAGAGCTCTTTTAACACTGTTAATATCTGTAAAAATATCTTCAGAAACAATACTTAAGTTTAGTTGATCCTAAAATGCTTTGGTTTAGTATACTTTCATTCTAGAAAACGACAACTTTGAAATTTATATGCATTTTATGTAAACCTAAAGCATCTTTCACTACAGTAGTTGGGTCACCTTGTGTCAATGTAGCTGTACAAAGAGCAACCCTGCACTAACAAGCCCACAATTTCAGAGATACTCCAAGTCATCGCAAGCTGGCATTTTTTCTGAAAGAAAGAGCCCTCTGCTTCCTTCCCACCAGCTCCTGCACTACCCTTCCCTTATATCAACCTAAAGGTTTTGCTCTGACATACAGAAAATTAGAGGAAGAAACTCATTTTATGAGAAAAAGCACCTAGCAAGGTAAAAAAGTCACTAAAGGCAGTAATGAGCAGGTGAAAAGAAGCAACCACAGCACATTTCAGAACTACAGCTTGTATAGATCCATGTATCATAACCAGACCACACCTCTCAAATTCTGCCAGGACTCATGTAAATACTGTTAGTGTAAATCAACAATTTAAATATTCTTTTTTAAAGTACAATTAATAGTTGAGCAAACGAAAGCATAGAAGCTAGCTAACACAAGAGTCCCAGAGTTCAGTCCCTGTACATCACTTAAATCCAAGACATTATGTCGTAGACTTAACATACGCTAATAACTGTGCTTCACAGTAT